ATTAAAAGACAGCTAGATTTTCAGGTTTGTTTGTTTTTGAGACAGGGTCTCACTATATAGTTCAGGCTGGCCTTGAACTTGCAGTGATCCTCCTGCCTCAGCCTCGCAAATGCTGGAATTACAGGTATGCACCACCATGCCTGGTCCCTTTTCAGGTTTAAAAAGATAATTAATATTAAATATTAGTGTAGTGGATTGATAACTTGTGGGCAACTTATAACCCTCAGCTGAAATGAGTAAGTGTGGTGCTGGATGTGGGAGGCCCATCTGGGGATTGTTGCCAGCAGCATAAGAGGCCGACCTGGAGAAAAAGTAAAAAGGTTTTTGGGAACTGAAGAATGCTGTTGGGAGCGAAGAAAGGCTGTTGGAGCTGGTGGAAGCTGTAAGGAGCTGTTGGTTGTTTTGGAGGAGCTCGTTATGCTGGCTTTCCTTATGAACTTGGCTGTTTTCATCTTCTGAGGAGCTCGGGACCTTGTTGGCCCTGAGAATGGCTTTGGTTCACTTTGGGGGAGCTCTGGTCCTCATTTGGAGCATTACTTCCGGGCTCTGGAGGGGAAGATGGTGCACTGCTCAGTCTCCTGGAGAAGCTTGCTGCGTTGGCTTCCCTGATGGGAATTCGGCCATCTTGATCATCGGAGGAGCTCAGAACCTCACTGTTGCTGAAGATGGCTGTGGTACCTTTCAGGGGAGCTCTGGTTCTTCTCAGTGTCGCTTCCTGGCTTCAGTGCAGATCCTTCAGCCTGCGGGCACAGATCCTTCATCCAGCTGGAACAGGCTTTCTAGATTCCACCACTGACCTTTGGGCCTTTGCAGTGCAGATCCATAAAACAGGCCTGCATGAGATATTGTTATGGGCTCTAGGCCTCCAATTGAACTTGTGGGAGGTACTGTTATGAGCTCTAGGTCTTCAGCTGGACTCATGCATTTCTGTGAGATCCAGGCCTTCAGATGGATTTCTTGGTCTTAGTGTGTGGACAGATTTCCTACCCTCTCTTGTATATCGTTCTTTGAGTGACTATTATAAATAATCTTATAAACTATGTGTCCTGTATTATATTGTTCCCCTTGCAAAAATAACCCCCCAAACTGTAGCAGTTAGGTATTGCTTTGCCATTCCTTGCTAATGCTTATATATTTGTCACTAAGATGTATTCATTAGTGGTTTTTCTCTATTTCAAATACATGCATATATAATTCATTCAGTCCATATACATGTACTGAAAACTTACTCTGAGGGAAGCCCTCAGCTGGATTCAGAGAATATAAAGATGTGAAGGACATAATTGTTTATGCTGGGTCCTGAAAGAACTGTGGGACCATGACAGGATAGAAATGGAGTAGACTAATTTTGTCTGAAAGAGAGATGTGGTGAAAACTCACAAAAGAGATGCTGTGAAACAATCCTAAGTATAAGAATAGGAATTTTCCAGACGATTAAAGCACAGGGTCATGGGGAAAGGAGTAGTAAGGCAGAGGAACTATAGATGGAAAGACATTTGTTTGTTCAGAGAATTATATACATGCAAAATTAGGGGCTCTCTAAAACTACCTTCAAATTCAGTAATTCACTAGGACTCACAGAATTCATTGGAGGCTATTCTGCTCACAGGTATGGTTTATTATAGCAAAAGGAAATAGATTAAATTAGGCCAGTGGCAGAGATGTATGAAACAGAATCCTGGAGGAGTCTATGTGGGAAATCTCCTCTTGCCCTCTCCCACTGGAACTATGGACACTACTAACGTCTTCCAGCAATGATGTGAGAAAATATGGATGGAGTACTGTCAACCAGGAAATCTGACTCAAACCTTAGTGCAGAGAGCTTTTTAAGTCAGTCATAGAGATATAGCTGATGCTCACATGGCTGAGTTTCAGCCCATCTGGAGGTTAAACTGATACTGCATAGTAAAGCCCCCACTCAAAATCACGTTTTTGGCCAAGATATTTCAGGAGCTTAGGGCAAAGAGCAGACCCATCTCTGGTTAAGAGTAGCTCTTCCTCTGTAAGATTGCAGTGTGTTAGAGGCTTGGAAAGTGGTCAGGGCCAGAAGAGGAATCAATGATAGTGTGACAAATGGGAGAGGAGTAATGCTATCAACAGAAGTTATAAATCAAAGACGTGCATGGAATTAACAAGTGTATTTGAGGAATGTGGTCTTCATGATTATTTCCCATGACATAGTGCCAGGAAGAGCAAAATGGAGGTACAATAAACACCAGATCATAAGCAAAAGAGGAGCCAAGTTGTGTCTGTGTGCTGGAACACTGAGGGGAGTGGTGCACAAAGCACTGTAGCAGAAAGTTTACCAATGACAACAAATTCAGTGAGTAACAGAAGTGACAGCAAAGTGGGAACCCTGGGCTTCCAGACTCTTATTACCTAATAAAATAGGAGAGCATCAAAGTTTTCCAAAAGGACTTTGTCAAATTGACTTTCTACCACTCCACTGGAACTATGCTTTTATGTATTTCCCTGTTTTTCATCATGTGAGCTTATTCTGAATTAAGCTTTGGAAAGAAAAGTATATGCTCAGAAAATGTGGAGGTGAGGGAGATCTTCTAGCTCCTTTAAATGCACTCTTTAAAAGTAGCTCTCAGGCTGCCTGTATAAGAACTTTCTGGGAAGATTTTAGTCCCATCAAGAAAGATTGTGGCTTCACAGATTAGAGGAAAAGATTCCTGGAGTGGAACCAAGGAATCTTCATTTGAATAAGCACAGTCTGGATCTACCTACTATAGAGACCTGGCTCCGGCCTCATCACATTTCAGAGGAGTTTATATTTGTAATCCCAGGCAAAAGTTATTGGAATTCTAATAAATAAATTCCACTCTACCCCTTCCAGTGTAACCTAAGGTGAGAATAAAGACACAAACTCATATCTACAGTTGTGGGGAGCCAAGGGAGTCCTAAATCCAGTTAGAGCAATGGCTAACTGGAACAAAGGCCACAACCAGGGCCAAACCTGAGTTTTATTAATTCATGAAGAGGGAAGTGGCTCAGGGTTGAGTGACGTGAGTGCTGTGAGCTGGGCTAGGTAGGAAGCACAATGGCACCTCTGCAATATGCAGAGAGAGGTATGCAGAAAAAGTACGGATTCTGGTAACAGATAGCCTCTAAGTTTGGAGGAATTGTCTTAACGTAGTTTGAGGAAGTATGTTGTGTTTTTGGTCAGTTGTCTCAGCCTTAATGTCTGGCCTTCCTGCCCTGGGACATCATGTTCTCTTTCTCAAGGCTCAGTCCCAGTTGATAGCTTGGCATCTCTCAGCCTCCCTCACACTTGGTAATAGGGAGCCATAGATGGGGCATCACTGACCTGTTCCATTGCTTCAAAGGCTACACATCAGCACCTCCGCTAGACCCATTTGCATTGCTTAAAGCCAGTTGAGGGGGCAGGGTATTATCCTAGCCACCTCTGTATATTTCAATACATGGAATTAAGGTCAGGTTTAACCAAAATGGATACAAATGGTCTTTTTTTCAAGGAGAGCCATCCTGGTGGTCCTCCACAACCTACCATTTGTTCCCTCAAAACACTACACTGTTGTGATTATTTCCTTATGATGATTTCTTCAGATAAGTCCCAGGAAAACATTTGGTTCAGTGAAACATCTGACACCTACAAAGCTCTCAAGAAATGCTTTTGAATAGTTGTTGACACTCCTGTTTTTATAGATCACCAAGATTCAAGGGTCTAGGTGTAGGGGCTGAGGGATTCTGTACTGGGGTCACCTGGAGAAATTAAGGTAAGATGCCAACCTCAATCGGCCTCTGGCTGTATGCCATCCGGTACCAATACTTCTCTTTTTTATTTCTACCACTATTTTCTACCAGTATTTTATTTTTCAAAATCCAGGTATCTTACCTGCACTAAGTAAGACAAAAAGGAGAGTTCCCATACTTCTCCCTGAAAACTCTGTTGCTGGAAGCCTTAGTCTGGCCTGGGCCAGGTGTTCGACTTGCACACTAAATGGGAGAATCATTGCTTTGGACCAATGGTGGCCAGCCTATGGCCTGTGTCCAGAGTGGGCTGTGTATATCTTTGAGAGCTCTAAAGGATTTTCCATCACTGTTTCAGACCAACCTAGCATAGGCAGATGGAGCAGCAAAACCAAGAGAAGTTAAATAACTTGTCCCGGCTTGTATGACTACTTTGGACATATTGGTTCAAATACTACTTGTAAAATCCCCTAAGTGCAATTATCAAATTAAAGGACACTTGTTCTTATGGATTTCATTGCTATATATATTTCCTAAATGGTAAAATACATTTTTACTGCTGTAAGCAACTGTAACTTCCCCCACTCTTCAATTCCAGCTTATACAAACCAATCTTGAGCTTTAATTCATTTTCAAATTTTAACAGATGTATAATTGCTCTCTTAGATTGTATATTTATTAGAGAAACACAAAAAGTTGTCAATTTTTAATTTTGGCAATTTGATGTCTGTAAGTCTTACATGTACAGTTTGTTCTGACTATAAATTGAGCTGAACCAGATATTGACCTTATATATTTGAAATTCCTCTTTATCAGTAGTTTATCACATATTTCTGACCCTTTGGTTGCTTTTAATACACTAGTACAAACTTCTTGTATTCTATGTGTATCTAAAAATTGCCTCCTTTTTGTTATGCCTCATTCTTTCTGTAGCTGACATAAATATGTACCAGTCTATGTTTATAGTTTTTAATAGTTAATGCTGCCTGTTTGAAGTTATTTTCAGATTTAACCCATCAAATTGTGATATATTAAAAATTTTTCCCTTCCATCCTCTTGAATTATTCCTACCTCCCATTACTTCTTTGTTTACAGTGGTGTGTGAATTTTCTGGAACTATTAATTGGTGTGGGGCAGTAAGTATTAAGGCCATTCTGCGGTGCGGGGAGGGTACCAGCATTAAGATGATGATGACAACACTGTCAGTACTTTGTTACTCATCATTATCATTGTTGTCATCATCACCATCATCAATAGTGATGCTGTATGCTAGTCTTGTGTACCAATGTTTCCTGATAAATTGCACCATAAAGCTGTTAAGAGAGTGAACTGAAGAATGCAACTGGTATTTAGTGCATTTTAACTTAGCAAATATTTTGATATTTTACTTAGTTTTCTTACAAAAGAACAAGGCATATGTTTTCATAAGTTTATTTTCTCCCTCAATTAGAGTTCTGTATTTTCTTATAAATAAATGTCTTATGTGAAATTAATTATGTTAAAGAAATCATCTATAACTAGTATGTTTTATTTTTATTAAACAACTTATTTAGACAAACATTTGATATCCTGTGTAAAAAAACAGAATGCCCAATGCTATATTAAGCATATGTCTGCATCTCAGGAAAGGTTGAAAAGAATTATACAAAAATACGCTGGGTGTGGTTGTGTATGCCTGTAATCTCAGCACTTGGGAGGCTGAAGCAGGGGGATTGCCATGAGTTAGAGGCCAGCCTGGGCTACATAAGTGAGTTCAAGGCCAGCCCGCACTACACAGTGAGACCCTGCCCCCTGCAAAAAAAAAAAAAGAGTGATACAAAAATAAAAGCATGAGATGATAGTACTTTTTGTTTTTCTGTTTTGGAAAATTTTCTTTAATTATTACATTCTTAAAAAGATGGTGACTTTCAGAAAATATTTTCTTGTAAGATGTGACTTTTACCATTTTCTCCTAAAAGTATAATAAATCATTCTGTTTTGCTTTCCAGAAATAAGCTCTATGGGGCTCCAAAGACAAAATTTTTTAAGGTTTTAATTACTATTTTCTTTATATTATCTAAATTATTGGTCTTACCATGTTATCTATTTTCTTTTGCTTTATGAGCTTTAATATTATATTTGTAGTATTTTTATAGTGGTCTACTTCTAGGTAGAAATAAAATTTGTTAGAATATAAGAAAATTATAATCCCCTCACTTTTCCTTCAGTATTTTATAATAAAAATTTTCAGGTATTACTGAAATGTAATTCCTAGTGCTCCTTTATCCAGTGGCTCTCCCTCACCAAAGTGATGATATGAAAAAAATGTCTCTATATTGCCAGATAGCCCCTGAGAAGACAAAGTCATGAGCCACTGTTCATGGGGATATTGATCTGTATGGCTTTTTTGGTAATATTTTTGTAAGTGTTTCATATTAAAGTAATGGTGGTCTCATAACATGAATGGTTAGCATTTCCTCCTGCTTTTTCTCTTTTTTCTTTTTTTTAGTTTCACATGAGATCAATAGTATTTCTTCCATTTTGGTTTGGCAAAATTCACCAGTGAAACCAGGTGGCCTGAACTTTATGGGAAGTTGTTGCTAACGAATTCAATTCCTTCAACAGATATACAACTACTCAGATTTCGTTTCTTCCTGAGTCATTTTTGGTAAGTTTTGTTTAGAAACTTGTTCCTTTTACCTAACTTGCCAAATTTGTTGGTATAAAGTATTTCATAACATTTGCAATCCTTTTAATTTCTGTTGTATGTGTAGCAGTAGCCCCTTGTCTCTTTTTAAATTGTACATGTAGATTATTTGGGGTCCCTCACTTCCTTTCCTGATCATCCTACCAGAAGTTTGTCCATTTTGAGTTGTTTCCAGTTTTTGGTAATTAAAAAATAAAACTGCTATGAACATTTTGTGTACAAGTTTTTATGTGGACACATGTTTTTGTTTATCTTCAGAATAGGCCTAGGAGTGATTACTTAGTTATATGCTGTGTTCAACCTTTTGAGGAATCACTGGAGTGTCTGCCGGGGTGCCTGAATCATTTTACACTCCTCCTCCAGGAATATATGAGGCATTGCAATTCCTATACCTGCTGCTATAAAATTGTCTTCTTTTTTTTTTTTTTTTTTTGGTTTTTCCGGTGCCGGGAACCGAACTCACGACCTTGCACTTGCCAGGCAAGCGCTTTGCCGCTGAGCTAAATCCCCAGCCCCAAAATTGTCTTCTTAAAATTCTAGCTGTCAGGGCTGGGGATGTAGCTCAGTGGCACAGTGCCTGCATGGCAAGCGCAAGGTCCTGAGTTCGATTCCCACTACAAAAAAAAAAAACACCAAAAAGTTCTAGCTGTCCTACTGTTTGAAGTGATGTCTTACTGAGGTTTTTAATTGCACTTCCCTAATGACTGATGATACTGAAGATCTTTTTACATGCTATATCAGCTGTTTATATTTTTTCTTTGGCTATTAAAATCGAATTTATCCCTTTTTTCCATGTATAGGCTATGTTTTAGTGTTCTTATCTAAGAAGTGTTGTTTACTCCAAGGTTACATATATTTTGTCTAGGTTTTATAGTTTTAGGTTTTACAGTTATCTGTTTTACAGTTTAGCTTAATTTTTATGTATGATTTGAAAAAAGAGTCAATGTTAATTTTTCCTTCCTATAGATAATCAGTTGTTCAGCACCACTTGTTGAAAAGATTTTCTTCCTCCTATGAAACAACCTTGTTACTTAAAATATTAATTGAGTATATGTTGTCAGTGACCATTTCTTCAAGTTATACACAAAAAAATTAAGTCTACTTCTGGACTCTTTTCTGTTCTATTGGTTTGCATATCTATCTTTTGCTAATACTAACTTGTTTTGATTTCTGAAGGTTAGAGATTTCCAACCTCAGCATTACTTAAATTTTGGTCTCAGTTATTCTTTGTTGCTGTTATTTTCAAAGAACTAACTTATAGCTTGGTTAATTTTCTCTACTGTCTGTCTCTTTTCTATGTTACTGATTTCTGTCCTAATTAATTTTCTTTCCTTCTGCTTACTTTGAATTTACTGTAATTTTTATCTTAAAATAAAATGTTAGATCATTGCTTTAGAACTTAAATACTAATACAAGGATTAAATATGTTATATTCTTGCTGTTGTGCTGAAAGTAATTTCTAAATTCCTGTCCTATTTCTTTAACATTTTTTTCTTATCTAGAAACATGTTTGATGTCAAATGTTTGAGGTTTCCTAGATATTTTATTTTTATTGGTTTCTAATTGAATTCTACTTTGGTCAGATAATATTTCCTATATGCTATCAATTCCTAAAGAATTATTCACACTTGGAGGCTGAGAAAGGATGATTGCTATGAGTTCAAGGCCAGCCTGGGCTACATAGTGAATTCAAGGCCAGCCTGGACTACACAGCAAGACCTTGTCTCAAAAAAAAAAAAAAAAAAAAACCAAGCAAACAAACAGCAAACTATTGAGATTTGTTTTATGGCTTAGCATATGGTCTATCTTGGTAAGTGTGCGCTTGAAGAGAAGTCTATGGTTGATAAATGTAATATATAAAAGTTGATTATATTGATAGTTTATATTAGTATTCAGATACTGTATTTTTCCTTTCCTGTTTTTTTTTTTTTTTTTGTCTAGTTGCATTATCATTTGCTTAAGAAGTATATGAAAATGTCTTATTATAATAGTGGAATAATATCTTTTTCCCTGTAATTCTGTAAATTTTTATTTCATGTATTTTAAGGTTCTGTTATTAGGCACATACATATTTATAACTGTTATGCCTTCTAGATGGATTGCTCCTTTTATCTTTACAAGAAGTTCTTTTTTATCTTTGGTAATGTTCTTTGTCTTCTTGTCTATTTAATCTGATATTAATATAGCCTCACCAGCCTTCTTAGGCTTACTAGTTTTTCCAAATATCATCCTTTGTGGGTCTTCAACATGAATTTTGGAAGGATTCAAACATTAAACTCATAGCAATACCCTTGTGATTTATAGTTGAATAACATAATTGAATTCATTTCCTAGCTGAAATGAATTTCCTATAGACAATATAAGTTAGGTTGTCTTCTTTCAAATACTCTGCCAGTAAAATGGTTGTCTTCTAATTAGTGTGTTTATGATACTTGCATCTAATGTAACTACTATAAAACAGGGTATGTCTTATACTATTTTTTGTTTTGTTAGTTCTCTTTTTTGTTTTTCTGATCTTCTCTTGGTTGCTTAAAGTATTTTTTTTAAAAAACCCATGGTATTTGTTTTTTATTTCATATACTCTCAGACCTACTTGTGTCTTCTTTACTTAAAGTACATCTCTTATAAGGAGTACATGGGGTGAGCAAAATATATGGTTAATGTTTAAATTTCAAAAAAATGCAGTAAAGAAGACATTATAGTACTGTAAATCCCCCTCAATATCTTCCACCTAACTTCAAACACACTTATCCATTTTTCATGCCTGTCTTGGTTACTTTTCTCTCATTGCCAAGACAAAATACCTGACACCCAAAATTAAGGAAGGAAAGGTTTATTTAGCCCACTGTTTGTGGAGGTTTCAGTACATACTCAGCTGGCTGCAAGGTAGAGCGGCACCTGGCAGAGGACAAAAGTTCATGGAGGCTGAAAACAGCAAAAGCAACAAGAGCACGGCGGGTGGGAGGGGGGAGCTCTTTTCCTCCCTTACATTGTAGACTGGCTATCCACCTATGCCCACACCGTCTCAGTGACCTCCTCTTGCACAAGCTCAGAATAAATACCAAAAAATATCCTAGAGCAGGAAGGGCATGTCCTTTTCACCCCAGGATGTAGAACTACTGAGCCACTTGGCCAAGCCTCTAGACTGCTCAAGTTGACACAATGTATTAACCATAACACTGCCACTTACTGAAGCAGTTCTAGACGTCCTCTTTCCTGTCTTTACAAGATGTGATAAAAAATTTGATAAATGCTACTGCTGCGTGCCATCCAATGGAAAGGCAGGCTCATAAAAACATTACAGTGTGTAATGGGCACAAAAATAAGACCTAATTACACTAGATTTGGCACTGTGCAACTTTTCACTAGATTTGGCACTGTGCAACTTTTCGGCTCTTTCCTAAAGTCATAACGATCATGAAAGGTAACCATTTTAAATCAGCTCAGGACACTAAGTCAACCAGGACAGCACAACTAAGACATGAAAGAGGACTTCCAGAAGTCCTTCAGAAAGTGGCAAGAATGGTGGGATCAGTGTGTTCGAAGTGAGGCAGGAATACTTTGGAGGGATTAATGGCAATGTGTCCTTTGTTGTAATAGGTCTTAAAAATTTAAAAGTTCACCATTTTTTTTTACCATATTGTGTGTAATTAGGTCTTATTTTTGTCCCCATTCTGATAATCTTTACCTTTTAAGTGATATGTTTCAATCATTAATACGTGTTTGTGTGTGTGTGCATGTGTGTGCATGTGGTGTGGCATGATATGGAAGAGCTCTGAACTACATCTGCAGCCCTATTTATTTTTTAATTTTAAGAAGGAGTCTCACTAAGTTGCTCAGTCTATCCTTGAACTTGCAATCCTTCTGCCTTAGCCTCCTGGGTAGCTGGAATTACAAGTGTACTCCATCATGCCTGGCTAAATCATTAACATTTATTTTTATTTTTATTTTGTCTTTTTGAGACAGGGTCTCACTATACAGTTCAGGCTGGCCTTGAGCTCACTTTGTAGCCCAGGCTGGTCTCTAACTTGCAACGATCCTCTGCCTCAGACTCCAGAGTACTGGGATTACAGATGTGTGCCACCACGCCCAGATGTGTAGATCATTAACATTTAAGTAATTATTGATATGGTTGGCTTTAGGCTATTCATCATTTCATCATCTTTATCCTCCATGTTTTTTTCTCCCATGTCATTATTTCTTAGTATTCCATTGTCTCTCGACTCTTTAATTATTAGTTTACCTCTTTATATTATTACTTTAATCATTGCCCTAGGAATTATATGCCTAACCAGAGCTTACTTTTTAATATAGTGCATCAAAAGCTGTATGAGAAGCCCACCCAATAGATTTTTTATTTGTAACTCATTGGATAAAACTGGGCCTTATCTCTACCTTTAGACCAGTCATTGTCCCTGGATAGTGATGGGGTTGGAAAAACTAAGACCCTTATTCTGGAGCTGGTGGAAGAATCCATCTACACTGAAACACAGGGCTCTTTCTACTTTCTGAACAAGCCAGTATTTGTGAGCAGGAAAGAGGGAGAGTGATTATAGGTTAAATAACAGTCAGTGTCTGCCACAGTAATTAATCTTATCTAATATACTTAGCTTCCCAAATTTTTAATCTTATCACATTTTAACATAATTCTTTGTTTTTGTTGGTGCTTTGCTTCAGTAATGTATTTTAACTAAAGAACGCTGTTTCCTTCAAGGAATTGTACAGTCTATCTTTTAGATTTGTTGCTTCACTACTTCCTGTTTCCATCTGGGTGTTCAGCTGGACTAGGATTGTCTGTTAGAATGAATTGTGAACATTTGTGTAAAGCTTGCTTGTAGTAGATAATAGTTATTTTGTTTTGTTTTTCTTCTGGTACCAGGAATCGAACTCACGACCTTGTGCTTGCCAGGCAAGCACTTTGCCGCTGAGCTAAATTCCCAGCCCCAGATAATAGTTATTAT